CACACCAAAGGCAGAGAGTAAAAGGGTTCCAGCTATGACAAAAGCGAAGGAAGGTGAAGAGAGGAAAGAAAGAAAGAAAGAGAGAGGGAGAGAAAGGGAGAGGAGAGAAAAGAAAAAGGCAGGTGTTCCCAGCTACGAACAGTCGTCCAGTGACACACCAAAGAAAGAAAGGGGTGATCCGGAGTATTCCATTCAGGAAAACACCAAAAAGCAAAGAAAGAAAGAGGGGAGGGAAGGGGAAGGGGGGGGGACTAAGCTCGCGACAGGTTCCAATGAACCTTGAACAAACTTCGGTCGCTGCGACCACGTACGGCTGCCACCTCTGACCGCTGCGGTCACGTAGAGGCATGAGCCAACTTGGAATTCCAAAAATGAGACAGACATCCCACTTCTTGCGGCGTAAGCCATCTGCTGTCCGCTCCGGACACTTACATCTCCGGGCAGGGGAGATAACGACAAACCCTCGTTCGACGGGTCCACGGGAGGCACTCTACGGGCTCATCCCGGACTCTCACTAGGAGAGACACACTTAGAGAAATGCGTGCTGGTGTGAATGCGGCGCCACATGCCAGCCTAAGAACCCAAATCCTGAAAGGTCCAGGAAAGCCCTAAAGAGCCTGGGGGTCTTCAAGAGGAAATGTGGCCCAAAGCGCAAGCCGGAGTCGGAGCGACAGGGTGACGTCGTAGCGTGCAAGTCTGCGGAGCTCACTAGCCCTTTACAAAGGTTCAAAAGTTCGAAGAAAGCAGGTACACCAGGTTGATCAGACCTGGCTTCCACTATCACGCATAGCTTCGTTGGCATGCGTTTGCGTGATAGCCGCATGCCCCCTGCCAAAAAGAAAAAAACAATTCAACGGAGTCCCTGTGATTACAAGGGGTACACACACACTCTGACATTGGTTTTCAGTTAACTCAATTCCCAGGAGAAAAGGAGTGGCGTAACGGCAAGGTGAAGAGTCCGATCATTTGAAGGTGTTTTAACAAAAATTGTTCCAATCGCACGACTGCAGCGGCGAATGCGAAATCAGCGGAAAACGCAAAGCGGAAAGCGCCTGAGGGAAAAGGTTTTGGGATATAGCATGAAAGGACCATGGAACCAGCCAAAGGAAGAGTGGAGTCACAGCTTGTACAAAAGTTCTCGCAGGTACACACGGGTGATCAATCTGTGCTTCCCACTCCAAGGCATAGCTTCGTTGCACTGAGTTTGCCAAGGAGTGCTCAGTGCCCCTGCATTGTTCAAACTCTTGGATACAGAGTGTGACGCGCGCACACGCACACTCAGCCGCTTTGCGGCGCTCCGGCGAAAAAGACCTAAATAGGCACCTAAAAAGCCTTAGAAACGAAAGAAAGAAAGACAGAAAGAGCAGCGCTAAAAGGGCAGGAGAAAAAGATAGGTGTAGTAAAAAGCGAATACTTAGCCCTTGACTGGGGTAGGGACACGAGCCTCAAGAACCACCTAAAAAGCTTAAAAGAAAGCCCAACAAACGACGAAAAGCGCAAGAAGGAAAGCGGGGGGGCAGGGATGGGGTGTATGTCCATGTGTGTGTACATGTGCGTGTTTGAATACTTAGCACTCTAGAGTTACTGACTACTTGGCGGAAGCTAATTGGGTGCAATAGTTAGGGAGCGGGACTTTAGTCTTAGACCGCTTGGGTAGAGTAGACTAGAACAGGGACAACAGAGGGACGCACAAGTGTGTCGAGTACCATTTCCCTCTGTTACCCTAATTAGAGGGAGGGGGGGTTGGGGTGTTTGGGGTAGAGAACACGTCGGGGTTTATTCTCCGTATGCCCGGCGGCTTTGAATTTCCGTCGGGCATGGTGTTTTGAGAATCCAGTAGTGAGACCAATTCAGTTAAGAGAATCCAACGTAAGCAGAAACGAGGGAAATCGGTTAACGGCACTCCGGTATGAGGACGGCGCTCCCTTGCGCGAGATCACACCCAGCGCCCAAGTGGGACAACTGAGCGAGTCACACTCTGACATTGGTTTTCAGTTAACTCAATTCCCAGGAGAAAAGGAGTGGCGTAACGGCAAGGTGAAGAGTCCGATCATTTGAAGGTGTTTTAACAAAACTTGTTCCAATCGCACGACTGCAGTGGCAAATGCGAAATCAGCGGAAAACGCAAAGCGGAAAGCGCCTGCAGTAGCTGCTGCCAAGGCAGCCGCAGCGGCTAAGGGAGTGACCGCCACGACATCCGCTGTGGCGGGTTCAGCTGGTGTTGGATCCTTGACGAAGGGTACAGGTGTTGCTGGCAAGGGCACTGGAAGCTATAGCTTTGATCCTAGTACTCAGATTGGTGCGATGGCTCCCCTGGGCTACTTTGACCCAGCTGGCTTGTGCAAGAAGGGAGATGAGGCGACATTCCGCCAGCTTCGTGCTGCCGAGCTAAAGCATGGCCGTGTTGCCATGATGGCAGCTGTGGGCGCAGTCGCACAACACTATGTAAAGTTTCCTGGTTTTGAGTCGGTGCCAAGCGGCCTGGCTGCTTCCATCACAGGCCCTGGAAGCTACGGCTTTGTGGCTTTGTTTGCCTTGGCTGGCATCTTGGAGCTTGGTGCTTGGACCGAGAGTGACAACAAGGAGCCTGGAAACTTTGGTGACCCACTGGGATTCAGCCAGTACACCCAGGAATGGAGGGCCGCTGAGTCGCAATTGATCAATAGTTTATCAGTTTATTTTACGTGTCAGTCATGTTCGCCATGTGTTCTGACACACTCAAACTATCAATCTTTGTGGCTGTGAAACCATGCCTCGATGCATGCACCATCATGCGCCTCCTCTATCATGTATTTTTATTGACAATGTGAGAGAGAGAGAGAAAAACCGTCAATGGTTTTCGAACGTTTTTAATGATGTTTCGCAGGGGCTTTGCACAAGGTTCAGGCCCCGTGTGTTCAACCTTCCTGAAACATGTTCTGATAGCAAAAGACTTTTGACATTTCAAGACTAGTTACATACTTTATCAATGTTTATCATTTATGCTGTATCATTGTATCATACTTTAACACCATCAATGATTCAACGATAGACTTGGACATGTTCCACAAAACTCTTGAGTCTTGACCATCGAGGAACGAGAGATCAACAACGGCCGCTTCGCGATGTTTGCGGCTATCGGTATCATCGCAGCTGAGCTTTACACTGGCAAGGATGCCATTGAGCAATTCGGGCTGTAGAAAGTGTGACAGCTGCATGTGCCGTAGACCTTTCACTCATTTTCGAGCTGCTTGACTTGGTACAGATGAGCGGAGATCTGTACAGATATCTGCACAGATCTACTCAGCAGCTCCCTTTTCACAGCATGAGTTTTCAGAGGCAACACTTTGGCGCGACAATGCTTGCAGCCAACTGAGTTGCCGCTGTTTGGGTGCACAATGCATCCCCAAACACATGTGGAGTGGATGTTTCGCTTAGAAATAATGCAGTCAGTGAGAGCAGGGCAAGTCCAGTCATTGAGTCGGTGGAGACTGTTTCATTGAGTTTTCCTGTTTTGGACATTGTCAGTGTGTCGTTGCGCTTATGTTCATGCATTCCTGTCCTGACCTGGCATGCTGGAGCATTTTGCACGTTGATCTCTCGCTTGACTCTCTCTTCCTTCGCCATGGCTCCTCGTAGCTCCTTGTTGGCTGCTGGCCTTGCTGCTGGTGGCTATGTGGCCACGCAGGCTTTTGTCCCAAGCGCTTCAGGACCTGTGGTGAACGAGTCGGTGCAGAATTTGCGTGGCACTTCAGCTACACAGGCTACACCATCTGAGGGATTTGGCAGCGCTTTGCCTTTGATGGGCCTTGTGGGGGTTGGAGCTGTCGCTGCTGGACGTGGACGTGTTGCACGCCGTGCGGAACCTGCAACCGCAGCAGCCGCTGCAGCAGCTGCTGCCAAGGCAGCCGCAGCGGC